TACCCAGCTTTGTTACCTTGCTGGTGAGGAGTTGTGATCCCTTAGAGGAGGAGAGGCGTTCTGGTTTTGGATGCTTTCATCCTTTTTGTTATGATTTCTTCCCATCTTTGTGGATTTATCTACCTGTGGTCTTTGTAGTTGGTGACTTTTGGGTGGGGTCTCTGAGTGGATGTCCTTTTTGTTGATGTTGAAGTTATTTCTTTCTGTTTTTTAGTTTTCCTTCTAACAGTCAGGCCCCTTTGCTGTAGGACTGCTAGAGGTCCACTCCAGACCCTGGTCACCTGGGGCTCACCTGTGGCAGCTGCAGAACAGTAAGGGTTTCTGCCAGTTTCTTCTTCTGTTATCCTCAACCCAGAAGCATACCCACCAGATGTCAGCCTGAGCTCTCCTTTATAATGTCTTTTTGGATATACAGGGGTTGGGAGCTGCTTGAGGAGACAGTCTATCCCTTATAGTAGTTCAAGTGCTGAGCTGTGAGCTGTGTTGTTCCTTTCAGAGCTGCTGGGCAGGTATGTTTAAGCCTACTGCAGCAGAACTCATAATTGCCTTTCCCCCCAGGTGTTCTGTCCTGGGAAGGTTGGGCTTTATTTATAAGTTCCTGATGTGTTGCTGCCTTTTTTCAGAGATGCCCTGCCCAGCAAGGAGGTAGCCTAGTTACAGCCTGTCAGCAGAGGCATTGCTGAGCTGCCATGGGCTATGCCCAGCTGCTGTGTGAACTTCCTTGTGATTTTGTTTACAGAGGGGTAGTTAGAACTGCCTCAGTAATGGCGGTCTGCCTCAGTAATGTCAGACTGCATCTGTAAAGGTGGACTGACTCAGTAATGGCAGATTGCCTCAGTAATGGTGGACTGCCTGAGTAGTGGTGGACTGCCTTGGTAATAGTGGATGCCCTTCCCATGCCAGGTCCAGCCGGGCTTGCTGTGAAACTCTCAATCCAGAGCATTTCAGATTGCTGGTCTTTGTGGGGGTGGGACCCACTGAGCCAGATTACCTGGCTCCCACTTTCTGCCCCCTTTTTTTCAGTTGAATGGGTGGCTCTGTCTCCCAGGTGTTCCAGGAGCCAATCGAAATGGCCACCTAGACTTTTGTGAGTTTTTGTGTGGAGACCCGCTGCGCTGGCTGAAACAGCCATGCTGGAAACTCATGGCACTTTTCAGCTCAGGAATCTCCTGGTCTGTGGGCAGTAAAAACTCATTTGGAAATGCAGTGATCACTCACCCTCTGCATTGTTCTCACTGGGAACTGCACTCCAGAGCTCTTCCTATTCAGCCATCTGGGGCTACATTTCTTAATGAGAGGAGAGAGTGAGAAGAGTTATAACCATCTTTGACATCAGTCTACATTCCCTCCTGCAGAAAGACAGTGTTGAATTTTATTAAAAGCCTTTTCTGCATCTACTGAGATAATAATGTGATTTTTGTCTTTATTTCTGTTTATGTAATAAATCACATTTATTGATTTGCATATGTTAACCAGCCTTGCATCCCAGGAATAAAGTCTACTTGATCATGGTGGATTAGCCTTTTGATGTGCTGCTGAATTTGGTTTGCTGGTATTTTGTTACAGATTTTTGCATCTATGTTGGGATATTGGCTTGAAGTTTTCTTTCTTTCTTGTATCTCTGCCAGATTTCAGTATCAGGATGATGCTGGCCTCATAAGATGAGTTAGGGAAGAGTCCCTCCTCAATTTTTTTGGAATAGTTTCAGTTGGAATGGTGCCAGCTTTTTTTTTTTTTTTTTTAATACATCTAATAGAATTTGCTGTGTATTCATCTGGCCTGACTTTTTTTGGTTGGTAGACTTTTTGTTACTGATTCAATTTCAGAAGTCATTATTTTTCTGTTCGGGTTTCTTCCTGGTTCAATCTTTGGAGATTGTATGTTTCCAGAAATTTATTCAATTCTTTTAGGTTTTTTAGTTTGTGGACATAGAGGTATTTGTAATAGTTTCTGAGGATTTTTTTTTTTTTTGTATTTCTGTGGGGTCACTGGTAATGTTCCCTTTGTCATTTCAGACGGTGATTATTTTGATCTCCTCTCTCTTTCTTTATTATTCTAGCTAGTGATCAGTCAATATTATTTATTCTTTCAAAGAACTGATTTTTGCCTTCTCTGATCTTTTGTATGGTATTTTTGATCGCAATTCCCTTCAGGTCAGCTCTAATTTTTATTATTTCTTTTCTTATGCTACCTTTGGAGTTGCTTTGCTCTTGTTTTTCCCATTCCTCTAGGTATAATGTTAGGTTATTAATTTGAGCTTTTTCTAAGTTTTTGATGTGTTTTTAGTGCTATAAACTTTCCTCTTAACACTGCTTTAGCTGTGTCCCAGAGATTCTGGTATGTTGTTTCTTTGTTTTCTTTTGTTTCAAAGAATTTTTTTTATTTATGCCTTAATCGTTTACCCAAAGGTCATTCAGGAGCAGGTTGTTTCATTTCTATGTTGTGTCATTTTAGCTTCTCAAATTGTTCTATTATTTCCTTAAATAACCATTTTTCAAAACCATGACATGACATAATATTAATTTTTTATTATTCGAGTTGCAGTGGTTGATTTATTAAATACTAGGGTCTAGTCCAAGAGTATCTATTGGCTTAATGTGGTAGCTCACACCGGTACTCACAACGCTTTGGGTACCTGAGGAAGGAGAATTGCTTGAAGGCAGAAGTTTGAGGCTGTAGTGAGCTCCAATTGTGACACTGCACTCCAGCCTGGTAAACAGGCTGTCTCAAAACCAAACCAAAGCAAATAAACAAAAAGAGCATCATATTTCATTAAATTCAAATATCAGTACCATAATGTATTACAATCCTTTCAAATATAAACTTTTAATTTTAGATGTATGGAAAAATTTTGAGGATAGTCTATAAAGATTTCTCATAGCCCACACCCAGCTTTCCCCATTATTAACACCTTATATTATCATGCCACAAACATTTGTTTGTACACACACACAAAACCAATATTGACAGGTCATTATTAACTAAAACCCACACTTTATTCAGATTTCCTTCTTTTCTTTTTCTTTTTTTTCCATTTATTTATTTTATTGCATTTTAGGTTTTGGGGTACATGTGAAGAACATGCAAGATTGTTGCATATGTACACGCGTGGCAGAGTCATTTTCTGCCTTCCTCCCCATCACCTAAATCTGGCATCTCTCCCCTTGCTATCTCTCCCCACCCCCCACCGTCCCTCCCCTATTTCCCCCCAACTGACCCCAGTGTGTAGTGCTCCCCTCCCTGTGTCCATGTGTTCTCATTGTTCAACACCCGCCTATGAGTGGGAACATGCGGTGTTTGATCTTCTGCTCTTCTGTCAGTTTGCTGAGAATGATGGTTTCCAGGTTCATCCATGTGCCTACAAAGGACATAAACTCATCGTTTTTGATGGCTGCATAATATGCCATGGTGTATATGTGCCACATTTTCCCTGTCCAGTCTATTATCGATGGGCATTTGGGTTGGTTCCAGGTCTTTGCTATTGTAAACAGTGCTGCAATGAACATTCATGTGCATGTGTCCTTATAGTAGAACGATTTCCTTATTTTCAAATGAGTGTCTGTGTTGTGTTTCAGGATCCTGTCCAGGATACCACACCATATTTAGTTGTCACATCTCATCAGGATCCTCCTGGTTTGTATTTACTTTTTTTGTGTGACAGTTTCTCAGATTTAGTTTTTTTTTTTCAACGAGGTTGAAAGTTTTGAGGAGTATTATTCAGATATTTTGTGGAATGTTTCTGAATTTAGATCTGTCTGTCTTTTCCCCCATGATTATACTGGGGCTATGGATTGTTAGGGGAGGAATACAATGTAGGTAAAGCATCATTTTCAACACATTATATGAAAGGTACATACCATCAACATTACTGTCTTAGTCTGTTCATGCTACTATCCTAAAATATCTAAGTCTAGGTAATTTATAAACAACAGAAATTTATTTCTCAAAGCTCTGGAGGCTGGGAAGTCCAAGATCAATGTGTCTGTAGGTTCAGTGTCTGGTAGGGTCCTAGTCTCTCTGATTCCAAGATGGTGCCTTGTTACTGCATCTTCCTGAGGGATGAATGGTGTGTCCTCATACAGTAGAATGGTGGAGGGGCAAAAAGGGTATCAGCTATTTTCTTCTAACCTATTTTTTTTTAAATAAGGTTCTAATCCATTTATAAGGGCAGACCCCTTGTTACTTAGTCAATTTTCAAAAGGTCCCTCTTATTAATTCCACGACGATGGGATTCAGTTTCAGCATGAATATTGAAAGTAAGCAGAGGAAAAAACTTGCCCAACAAGTGGATTCTGAGGCATTTTAAAGTTAGAGATCAAGAAACTGAAAAGGGATCATCAAAGGAAGATGAGTAGAATGGTGAATAAGGTAGAAGGAAACCATGGGAATGTGATGTCTTGAAAGCCAGATAGAGAAAGAAAGGATAAATGAATCAAACCATTCATCTTCTCTGTTCCATCCACAGTATGCAAAACTATGCCAGAAGGAATGGCATTGCTTGGTGTCCAACACATTCATGATCTCCAAAAACAACTTTCACTACTATTCACTGCTGTGGCTCTTCTAAACCTTCACCACTCTTGATTCCCTCTCCTTCAAGATGGTTTGTCTTCTACTTCACAGAGAGAACTGATATGATCAGGCTTTAACTTCCCTGATTTACCAGTTTTGTACCTACATCTGTCTATATATGCATCTACTTTCACCTTCTCTCAGCCTCAGAGGATGGGTGGGCTGTTTTCTGTTTAAGATGTGTCTCCCCACAGTGAGCATTTTTGTTCAAGTGTCACAAGTCCCCTGTTGAAAATTGCTTATTAGTTTACTTTATCTTTATATTTTTAGTTTCTTTGTGTCTAGTAGGTTCTTTCCAGTGGAGTGGGGGAAGTTGAACTGAGGAAATGTAGAAGAACTTATGCTTATTATTTATTTATTCCTCTACAGGATGGAGGGGGGTTCTGCCTATCCTTAGGGAGAAGACAGCATTGAAGCAATATTTCTGGTTCTTCCCACTACTTCCTCCCACTTCCTCAACATGAGTGGGATGATTTATCTTGCTGGTGAGATCAGGGCAAGAGGCAATGCTCATGAGTGGTCTGGTTTTTTGCTTTCTCTCCTGTACAGCCAACTGTTTTGATTGGTGGGATTTGGGGTTCTTTCCAGGTTGTCTCCTCTATGCAAAATGCTGGTGGACAACATGATGTGCCTGCTCAGGTCCCATAGCTTCCCATCCTCTGCCTGGAACTGAGTGAGATACTTTGGCTGTTGGAGGTTAAGTTAGAAAGCACATTTCAGGCTGGGCGCAGAGGCTCTTGCCTATAGTCCCAACACTTTGGGAGGCCAAGGCAAGTGGGTCACCTGAGGTCAGCAGTTCAAGATCAGCCTGGTGAAACAAAGTCTCTACTAAAAATACAAAAATTATCCAGTCGTGGTGGTGAGCATCTGTAATCTCAGCTACTTGGGAGGCTGAGGCAGGAGAATCGCTTGAACCTAGGAGGCGGATGTTGCAGTGAGTTGAGATCGTGTCATTGCACTCCAGCCTAGGGGACAAGAGTGAAACCCCATCTAAAAAAAAAGCACATTTCAATTTCTAGTGCAAGCTTTGTTCTCTATTTCAACTTTATTATGAACATAACTGATATTTCCCCCTATTTGATTCATATTTGGTTCAGAACTTGGAGAAGAAGAAAGCTGTGATTAATTAGTACCTGCAACTTCCAATATATAATGCTAGGAAATTTTCAGAGTAGATTCTCCTTTGGTGAGAAGATTATCCTATGGCAAGGAAGAGCCTTCTTGTGTGACCAGAGAAGAGGATTTACTATGTCTCTGATCAGTGTGGTTTGCTGTACATTGTTGAGAGCAGATATTGTGGGTGTGCCTGATACTGGCATTAAATCAAAAGGCTTTAGTTCTAGTAAAGGCTCACTTCAGAACAGGTGGTGCTTCAGTATAAAGGCTTTTTAGGCTTGAGTGGATGCAACACTCTTTTCACCAATTTGTTTTAAATATTTATTATTATTATTTTTAATCCAGGATTGCCAGATGTTACTGCTGTAAAAAGATGGGGACAAAGAAGTGCTTCTGAAGTCTGATCCACTACATGTTACTCAAGCTCATAAAATTCATGCAGCAAATGCTTTTGGTGTTCTGCTCTGGATCCCCCAGCACTCACCCTTGTACCAGCTGATAGCTCCCTACTATGACAACGCTGAACTAAATTCAGTCTTGGGTGCTTTTTCCACTATTATGTTTGCTCCAGTTACTGCTGCCATTGTTGTAAATAAAAGATGCAGGTTTTACACAGCAGAGTGAACCTCTCACCTGAAAGTAGTATATTCTTGCTAATGCTTTGAGATATGCAACTGCTGGGTTCCTCATACTTCTGCTTATGTGGTTTCAGCCCAATCTCAATCCTGTTCATCCTAATTTCTGACCCCATTTTTGCAAACAGCAGGTATAACTTTTCTCCTTCTGATGAGTCCCATATCTCTGGAACTATATGTTTTTGCTGGCATATTATGAATTAAGCTGTTGCTGGGTCTTAAAAAAAAACTTTCTGTACTTCTTTTTCTTTCTCACACTAGTTTATAGCCTGATTTCAGCTACTTTTGGTAACTCTTACACATATTCTGGAGTTTGAAAATGTTATCTATCTCCTAGTTGTGTTAAAAATGGAGGCTGGGCATGGTGGCTCATGCCTGTGATCCCAGCACTTTGGGAGGTCGAGGTAGGCAGATAACCTGAGGTTGGGAGTTTGAGACTAGCCTGGCCAACATGGTGCAACTCCTTCTCTACTAAAATTTCAAAAATTAGCTGGGCATGATGACAGGTACCTGTAATCCTAGCTGGAGGCTGAGACAGAAGAATCACTTTAATCCAAGAAACAGAGGTTGCAGTGAGCTGAGATCACGCCATTGCTCTCCAGCCTGAGCCATAGAGCAAAACTCCATCTCAAAAAAAAAAAAAAAAAAAAAAAAAAAAAAAAAAAAAAAAAAAAAAAAAAAAAAAAAGAAAAGTTTTCAGGATATTTTATTCTACTTACTCTCAGTGTTTTCTTGCAAGAGGACAAAAGGTAACAACTTGGCTTATGCAGTTATGTTCATACCAGAAGTTTTGGGAGTTGCATCATTCAGGATATATAGAAAGTCAAGAATTACACCAATTATTTCATCAGAAACAATCTAATGTAAAGAAAAGACAAAAGAGAGAGTGAGGTATCCCAGAGGAAACAGTAGCAGAAAGAAGCTACTATTCTTTTTGTTGAGGGTACAAAGAGAAGGATTTGGGATTCATAAAACCTCAAGGCATTAATGAACAGTTCTTATAGATTTGGGACTCAAACTCTGAGATGGAGGGACAATTTTTGACTGGTACTTGTACTACAAGAATTTGGAATACACTGCCATGATATTGGGACTCAGACTTCTGAACAATTGATAGCTACTTGATTGGAGCTGGTGTCTCTGGTCTTGCAAGAGGAAACCCCTGGAGTTAGGACAGACTTCTGAAAAAAAGATATTGGCTGGTTGGTGTTGGCAGCTCTAGGGCAGTGGTGGTGGGGGTGAGGAAATGAGGACCATTTTGTTAGTGTGTGAAAAATGCGAATTGGAACAGGCAGGTAAACTGGAATCAACTGGTGCTCTTAGTTGACTGATGAACCATTGCCATAGTGACATTGCTAGGATCAGGGAACAAACACATCCTTTGTTCCTCCCCCAGGCTCCTACTCTCACACTAGTGCAGAGAGTCTCATACATTGGCAGAGAGGAACAGGGAGCCAGTGGCATAAAGAAAAGAACAGAGTCTGGGTTTAAAATTATGGGACAACAGTTCAGTGTCCTTTTCATGTAAAAACACATAGCTTTCTTTAATTCTGACAACATCTGCATTTTTGTTCTTTAGCTACTTCATTCTCACTTTCTTCTGTAGGCTAAGTTTGGCACTTCTGAATATATTCTCGATGGTCTTTATCCTTTTATGCTGTGTACTTTTTTAGCTTGATCTTCTAACTCACTAATTTACATTTTAACCATATCCAATCAGGTAGTTAATAACTAAATTTTTTTTATTTCAATAATTTGTTTCTGTTTCTAAGGCCTCGAATGGATTATTTTTCGTATCTGTTCTTGTTTTATGGGTACACTATCCTTCCTCATCTTTCTGATATAATGTCCTGATTTTAGAGTGCTGGGTCTTAATTTTTTTGGCCATAGAAGTTTAATTTTTTTTACATTTGAAAAAATATAACTGGAAATATGCTGCCAGATACTGAATGCATATTTTGACAAACTCAAATGCAAATATGTCCTTGCAAAATTCATCAGTTGGCCAAGTTTAAAAGCTGCCCGTTTCCCAATAGAATCTCACATCAATATTCTCCTTAGCCAATGTATTTGATGAATGAAAAACAGTGACTAGGGCTGGGTGTGCTGGCTCATACCTGTCATCACAGCACTTTGGGAGTCCAAGGTTGGTGGATTGCTTGACACCAAAAGTTTGAGACCAGTCTGAGCAACATGGCGAAACCCCTTCTCTACAAAAAATAAAAATTAGCTGGATGTGGTGGCGTGGGCCTATAGTCCCAGTTACCGGGGGGCTGAGGTGGGAGGATCACTTGCATCCCAGAGGTGGAGGCTGCAGTTGTCACTGCACTCTAGCCTGGGCAGCAGAACAAGATGCTATTACAAAAAAGAAAAAAAAAAAAAAAAAAGAAAAGAAAAAACAATGACATTTTTCTGAGCTCAGAGGAGTGGCAGCAGCTGGCTAGGGCAGACTTTAGATGCTGTTCATAGCTTTGAACTTGCTGAAGGCCTGCATGGGGCTCATGTGCTTCTCTTACTGGCATTTGATGGAAGTCACATGGGATGCCTTCACTGTTTGTACCACAATGTTTATTGTACAAACACAACGTTCATCAAGTCCTTCGCTGCTGGATCAGGGATACGGTAGTGTCCATCCTGGAGATGACAGGATCCTCACTGAGGTTATGAACCACAGCCTTGATTTTGTTGCAGATGTTGAGGTGGTTCCAGATGTTGAGGTGGTTCCAGTGGAGGGTGATGTGCTGCAGGTGGGATAGCAAGTGCAGCTTGTAGGCTGAGTCTGAGTAGTGGTTTGTAATGATAAAGTTAAGGTCATCCATCCTAGACCTTGTCTTAGCAATTTTCTTGGCTGCACTGATCTTGTTTGAAGAATTTTTGAGCAGTCCTTCACATTGGGCAAAGTCAGTCATCTCTATCATTAGCATGCACATTAGTGTAAGTTGGCTTGGCCAGCATGATGATGTCATTGCCACCGTTACCCATTTGGACATGTCAGCATCAATCTTGCTCTTTTTTTCTTCTTCTAGTTGTTTGACGGAATCATTTTACTCAACGGTAAATTGCAATATTGTTTGTCTTTCATGTCTCGCTCTCAGAGATCTGAAAATTCTTACCTATGGGATAATTTTTTAAGATTAGATTTCCTGTTCCATAATGGTCTTTGCACATCTCACTAAAGAACATGGGGTGAAGCTGCAATTGAGTTTTATGCTTTTGTACTGTTTTATCTGAGAGCTGGGGTGGGTGGGACATGCTCTTAGGCATGAAGCACCATCTATCGGTCTTCTGAGCTAAACTGTTAACCTTCTTCTGAAATTATCAGATACAAGGTACTGATCCACCTGAAGACATTTTCTGTTGCAGGTGATTGGCCTGCAGAAGGCAGGTGGAGATCTATAGTTAGTCAACCAGTCTGGTCGCTTCCCCTAAAGTATTCCCATAAATCTCATTATTATGTGGTGGCCTCCTGATCCCAGCTCCTGCCACCTCCAGATATAGAGCTCCCAAGACATTGCTGGCACTTTTTGTAGTTGTGCCCTCTTCTGGGTTCTCATTTGTGACATGCTGTGTGGTTTTCTCTCTTTTCTCCAATTCTGTCTCTTCTTAGTGTTTTGAAGATTCCTCACAATTTCTGATTCTTTGAAGCTTCCATCTTGTTTCAGAGTGGAGCTCTGTACTTACTAAATTTTAATAATTATCTTTTACATTATTTTTAGGGCTGGTGAAACTAGAGCATATAACATGTGTTTGGCTTAGAATATAAGAAGTAGAAATATTTCCTGGAATTTTATATGGTGGAAGTGAGAGGGTAATGGTTTACTACTTGTCACCTCATAGAACTAGAATTTGTACCATGACTATGTGTTCCATAGAGAAACTATCTAGAGTAGAAAAAGATGAAACTAAACAGAGGAAAGAGAGAAGGCTCTGACAGTGCAGACAGCATGCAGTTCTTGAGGTTCATGGAGTTACTCTGGTTCTTACTATTCTTTCTTCACTCTAGTGATCCATCCCAGGATCCCTGCGGTTTACCTCCCCTACACTGGATTTTGCCCATGTTTCACTTTTTCTCTGGCCTTGAGTTGCCAGATGTGTTCATCTTTAAATGGGAAAAATAAAGCTATCTCACCATCTCACGGGTGAGAACCCAGAGGAGGGCACAACTACAAAAGGTGCCAGCAATGTTGTGGGCACTCTGTGTCTGCAGGTTTGTTTTCCCTAGCTATAGCTGTATTTCAGAAAATAGTTTATCCTATTTAGGTGACCCTCTCAATGGTTTCATTCTGAATAGCAATGTACAACAATACCTGGGGAGCACGTAAGCCTGAAGTAACCTTAATCCAGTGCTAGTTTTGGGTACTGATAGCAAATACTTGATTAGAAATGTCGAACACTAACAGTGACAAAAGAGTGTTAGTGTTTGTCATTGTTTCAAAAGACAAAATAATGTAATGTTGGATGTCATAATAATACAGTGAAAGGTTTACTTATGGACATCAGAAATACTCAACTCTAGGGTGAATGGGGAAAAATACCTGTTATACATTATATGAATATCCTTATGGATTGGGACAAAACTTGCAGGGGCAGTATCATACACAGATTCAAAAAATGCTATCCTGAAAAATCTAGAAATTACAATGATACATTCTGGGAAATTTGTGTTGAATGATTTAGTGATAGTGAGAATGCATCAGAAGAGTGTGATAAAGAAATGTATAGTATTCATTATAAAAAAGTTATCCAGTAGTTTTATATTATATTATTTTATATATAATTTTAAGTATAGAATAAAATAATATCAAGTATTGATACATAGTTATTTGACTATTTTACATCAATTTCTAAAAATATTCATTTGGCTTAATAATTTATTTTTTAATTTTAAAATTTCCTCCTTGGGAAAATGGAAGCCTGTAGTTGAATATACAAGACAGTGGGTCTTGGGTGTCAATTGCTTGCAACAATAGTAGTCCTGTCTAATG